TACTATCCTTCTGTTGATGCATCTTAGGACTGCATTGGCTTTTTTGGCAGCTGCACACACTCCTGGCTCACATTTAAGTGGTGGTGCATTAGATCCCTATCATGGTTACTACTGTTGAGTCAGGTACTATTCTATACCATCACCATACCATTTTGATTTTTCCTGCCTAGGTGTAGGGCCTTACTTTTTCAACACTGAATCATATCTTGTTGGATAGGGCCCAATCCTGAAGTCTGTCAAGATCCTTTTGACTCTTGAGTATGTCTTTTAATGTGTTGGAAATTCCCCCAGCTTGGTGTCATCTGCAGATTTGATGAGTTCCCTTTCTATCCCCTGGTCTAAATTATTTATAAAGATATTGAAGAGTACTGGGCCTAACAAAGTGCCTTGAGGTACCCCACTGCATGCTTCCCTCCATGTAGATATAGTTCCATTGCGGACTACGTTGAGTGCAGTTGGTCAGCCAGTTGTGAATCCATCTGATGGTGAAGCTATCCCACATTGTCAGGCACAAGAAATAGGGTGCCAGGGTTAGGTCCAAAATGAATACAAGTTTATTTCATGCTACCTCAAAACAAAAATATTAACTACTAACAGTCAAGGCAAATTGGTGGTAGATAAGGGTCAATGGAATTCAAGGAGGGCAAGACTTAGATCTCTTGTGGGTGTGAAAGAACTCTAAACTGATGATGTGTTTGACTCCTCCCTCAGGCTTAGCCTGGTCTTTTCCTACATACATTTTTTTATCTTTCCAAAAAGTAGGCTGTAGTTTACTTTGTCAAATGAAGTTTAAGTAAACTGTGTCCATAGCATTTCTCCAATCCTTTGTCAAAGAAGGCAGTAAGATTTCCCTGGTTATGATCTGTTTTTAACAAACCCATGTTGGCTTCTAGTTTCTAGGTGCTCGCAAGTGTTGCTTATCTTTTCCAGAATTTTCCCAGGCTGATTGGTCTGCAGTCTCTTGGATCAATTTTTTTCCCGTTTTGAAGATTGGAACTACATCAGTTCTTTTCCATTCCTCTGGTAGTGTCATTGCGAAGGAGGAGGAAGAACTGGGACTGTCCGACGGGGATGGCACATCTCCCTTGGAATGTTTGGAGAGTCCAGGGGCTGAGGACGTTGCTAGAGGTATCGGCAGGAAGGGGCAAGAAGGGCAGATGCTTGAAGCAGTGTTGTGATACTGTACTCTGCCTCTTTCATACACGTGATGGTCAAAAGGGGCAGAAGATACGTCACAATATTGTAACATTGCTTTTATCTTTTTGATCAAAATGGTGGGTCCTGAGCCCCTTGTACTCCCCACAGCTGTTCTTGCATTGAAAATTCTCTCCCAAATTCTTTCTTTCTTATGCTAATCTAAAGGCAGATCTAAAATCTTGTAAGAAAAAAAGGACCTGAGTGACCAATTTCAAATGGCAAAATTACCAGGTGGGGAACTTTTAATATAATCAGCAGAACAGATTTTGAAAGATAGGACAAACCATTGATGTGAATGGGAAGATTCTTACTCCTCATGAGCCCCCCCCCACATACTTTTATCAAAACTGATTCTGTACTAATCATTCCACTTCCTCCCAGCAAACAAAGTTGCAAATGTGGGTTTATTGCCATAGCTAAGTATCAAGAGAAATAGAATGTGAGGAGATTTTGAATGGAGAAATAACCAGGACAAAAGGGACCTGTGCTTTCTATTCCTTCATTTCAGAGTCCTTCTCTACCACAATTGTTTTGACTGAGATACTATTATCTGCATTTAAATATAAGTTCAAGTGTAATTCAAAAAGAGGGAGCAAATGTTACCATTTTATGAGGCTTTGGCATCTTTCAATATTTGGACTTTCCTGGCAGCAAAGAAAAGACTACCTCAGACTTATAAAAAAAACATGTTTCTTGTCACTTAAGCTCAAATTACTAAAATATCCAATTATGGAAGTATATCTGAAGATGAAAAATTTCAACATATAACTTAAACATTTTAAATACCAGTGGTATGTAAACTCCTGGACAATATACTGTTATAATTCAGTAAGTACTTTTCCTAATGGAGTAACACATATTATATGAGCATATTTAAATTCTTAGGCACTCTATGAAATGGAAAAATAAAATGACTGACTTTTGGCTGAATACATATATTTTAAACATGAACTATACAGATGGATTTATTTTATTTTTGCTCTCTTTCCATATTTTTCTCTACACTTCTGACATCCAAAATAATTTTAATGCTTTTTAAAGCTTTTATCTTATACTTCAAATGTTTTAACACTACTGTCCAAGTCTTTTGTAAATGTGATTTTTCCCAGCTGGTTTCGAAATGGCAGTTGTGTTCCAGAAGAGTTTCCACTAATTCTCCAAATGTTCACTAAGCCACCTAATACAAAACGAATGCTGGAGCTCTGTAATTAGAAAAGAACTTAGAATCAAAATACAGTGTATTAAAAATACGTAAATGCAAAACATTCAAATGTTCCAAAATATTAATTTTGACTGCCCCTATATACAGAATAGTTAGAAATAATATTCAGCAGACTGCAAATGCAAAAAGATATTTGTATAAAAAAACAATAATCAGATGAGAATGTTATTTTCTAAGTAATAGCAAAACTATCACTGATTTTAATAAACCAGAAATGCAAATTTGGAGGGCAAAAAAGGAAGAATCAGTAATGTGTTTTCAAACTATCATCACATTACTAGAGCACTGTTCCATGAATGCAGTTCACTACACATTTATACGGGAGAAAATCCCACTGAACTGGTATGCAGGTGAAGGAATCAAAATATAATAATTTATGTATAACCCAGCCATGGTTAATTCTTTCTTGTTTGTGCTCTGTACTTTGCTCAGAGATAACTTAAAAGCTGACCAAGGAGAAAGAAAAAGCTTAGTTGTAACTTTAAATGTATTCACTGTAGCCTGAAATGTATGGGTACAAACGTATCCACTCAAGGAGAAAGTTCCTGGCCGCCTGCCAGCAATTGTGTATTCGAAGCATAAGCCTTGTAACAAGCTGTAACTGAACTAACCTGATAGATAAAGAAAACAGGTATTCAGACGAAAAAGAAATCTTTTAGCCTGAGAAAATGCCTTAGCTATAAAAGGGGAAATTTTTATTAGTGTGCCTGTCTTTTCTCCCCGTCTCTCTGTGTTAAGAGACAAGAGATTAGAAAACACCCAGTTTTGGCTTTGATCAAAGAATAAAGCTGTTTCTTTTGCAGTAGCCTGGTGTTCAGAGTCTCATTGGAATTTATTAGGATTCTGAAAAACCTTGCACAGGCCTATAATATGAAATATTGGGTATGTAGGAGGACAGCACCCCCCCCCCAGAGAAAGAAATATTTTGGGAAAAATTAAAAAGCAGAATACATTTCCCAAAGGAATACAGTAATGGAGAAAGAAAATCTTAAAAGTCAGAAACCAGCCCCCAGAAACCAGCGTCAGCCCCTCTCCCCCAGGCAGAGGCCAGGTCTGTAGAAATGCAGATTTGATAATCCTATTCAGAAAGGTTGGAGCCAGGAAACTAGAAACTGATGAGATTAGAAAGACAAAGACCCCTAAAATCTACATACCCCACCCAAACTCTAAAGACATGACCTTTAGGACATAATAGGATTAACTCACCACCATCAGAATACTGGAAGGGCACATTGAACCTCAGGTCAAAGTTCATGCCACAGGAACAACTCCAAACACAAAAGCCCAAGACAGTATAAAAACCCACCACTCCCTGCTCCATATGGTCAGCTTTCCCAGAGCCACATTTCTGATTGGCTATGCTCTTCAATTAACTACAACCTTCTTTCTAAAGCAGTCTCCATTTTGTTTATTCCCGGCTTGGACTGGACCCTGATGAAGATTTTTCTTTCAACAGATGCAAGCAAAACTCTCTAAAATCTGGGTGTTACGGTACCTGAGAGCATTTTCCTGTGAGTAAAAATGAGTAGGACTGCTTGTTTATGGTCATTTTTTAAACAATATTCAGATAAATAAGCACAGGCATTACTCAGAAAAGTAGGTTTGTTTATTTATTAAATTTTTATGCTACCCATCTCCTCTACAAGGTGAAAAACAGTTCTGATTTATTTAAATAAATGAACTACCACTACAGATGGTGTAGTTGAGACCATACACTTCTTTAATCAATAAGTATTCAGTCAGATATACTTTTGAATTTTAGGGTGGCTTGGTGATACTTATGGAGAGACTGTTGTTTAAGGAGATAATCTGGCCCTTCTGAAAACAGATCGATCTTTCCAGTGAACATGACTGCACTACACATTTCCCTTTCGCTAGCTGTTTTTGCCACAAGTTTACTATTTATCTTCGAAGGGATTTACCATGACGACTATCGCATCTTTTCACAAGTAAAAAAGAGAGCTTGGTTTGCTCATAAATCTCAGCAGTAACATGTCCCAAGCGTCTGAAAAGCAAGTCTCACAATTCCCGAATATTTGAGGAGAAAAGAAGCACAACCCCGGGATGCATCACATCTGACCACGGAAAAGCTGCTCTAAAACGGTTTAACCTCTTGTCCTGTTTAAAAAAAAAAAGAAGAGACGGATTAGACACGCCCGGCTGTGAGAAACTCCTCGTTACTTTTTTTTTTTTTTTTTTAGCCCGTCCAAAATGCCTCAGCTAGAAAATATGTTGGCTGCGTCCCACGGAACTGTCGTTACTACACGCGCGCCCCCGCGCGCGTGCACGACCAGGCTCACTCACTTGTGCAGAGATCCCGGCAGCAGGCACACAACAACATAACAAAAATGCAATGCTGTAGGAAGCCGCGCTTTGCATTTATTTTGGCACGCGATGGGGGAAGGGTCTGCGGGGACTGAGGGGTCATTTCATAAGGAGGGGGGGGGAGGCATTTAAGAGAAGGCATTTGAAGAGGAAGTGAGACTCCCTCCCCCTTCCCAATCTGTTCTATAGCGAGGAGAGGGTATGTGTGTGTAAGTATAGAGGAAGGGAGGGGGAAACCCTGTGAGGTGGGAGTGACTGAGGAGGGCTCATCTGGGCTTGAGTGACGAGCCGAGGGAACTGAATCGCTGTAGAAGCCCAGCTGAACGGAAAGGACGGCGCTCTCCGCGTCGAGCTACAGGGAAACGAAACCCAAGGAAGACGCCGCCTCTTTGGTATCTCCCTGCTACTTCGCAACTCGCCTTTCGCTGTCCTGTTGCTCCTCGTAGGAGAGACCCGTCTCTCCTTGCCCGGGCCGCGTCGCTCAGGCGGGACCAGACCGCGAGGTAAGGCACCGGGGCAATCGACCCGACCTGTGTGCCTTTCTGCTTTGCTGCCCCTCCGAAGGTAAAGGGTGCCAAATGAATTCTGCTCTTCGGTGAAACGGATCGGAGATCCTGGAGGAGCTGGAATCCAGCGTTACTGGTGGAGGGAAATAATCGCGGGTTCGCCCTTCCGAGCCCTCCAGACCAGCTCTGCTTGTCTTGGTCCAAGCGAATTGTAATTAAATGGGTGGCGCTGGGAGGAGCGGGGTGAAGAAAGAGAACAGAATCTAGTTTAATTGCATATGAACCCTAGTAGGAAGCACAGGCGTAATATGATTATTTCGGGTGAAATAAATCAATATTACTAATATTGCTATGATTATAAAAATGTTCAGTAACTTCTACACTGTTTTAGATGATAGTTTTGATTTGCAATTTAATGTTGGATGTGTCACAAATAAATCTTTAAAACCGGAAAAAAAAAGAATCTAGTTTAATTGTAGAACGGGAAATTATTTGGGTATAGATGGCCCACTTCTCTCTCTCCCCCCCTCTCCCCCCCTCTCTCACACACATACACACACGCACAAACACACACTTTCTGCATTGTTAATTTCTTGTATTCTTTCAAGAGCCGGGGTGATCGCAGTGATCCCTGAAAAGCGATAAAGGGGCGTGATACTGGAGGCATTCTTGGATCATATCGGAGTGTGCGTGGGAAGCCCAGAGATAAGAGTGTTTGCTTATTAGCTAACTAGGCAGGAACTGTTAACCCTGTTTCGTTTCTGAGGTTCGTTTTGCACTACAGCGCTGGTACAGTATTAATGCTCTGCAAGCAGGAATCTGACGAGGCATCTACATATTCTTGTTATTTTCAACTCCCTTGCTGTAACTGCCCCCTCCCCCCGAATAAGGTACTTTCTAAAGTATATATATATATATATTACTATTGATTTGTATTGTGGAATATTTGACTCGACGGGGCTTGAAAACGTAATTAAGTGATTGGGTAGCTTCTGAAAACTGCAGTCAGGTATCAGGGGAGCAAAGCTGCAATATTTTTCAGGAAAGGTTGCATTATATTTTTTTTAAGTGGAGCTGCTCAAAATTGTAACTGCTGAATTGTGCTAAAGTTAAAAGGCAAACGGAATGGTGAGTGAACGGTTTCCCTGATTTCCATCAAAATTCTGGCTTTTTAAAACTATGGTTTCAGGTGCTGTTCACATTCCTCGTCCTTCTTTACATTACATTTTTTTACTGCCTTAGCCTTGAGATTCGTTAACTCTTTACTGAGAGCAGCAACAGGAGGAGTGCATTTCTTCCGTACTTTCAAAATGCATAGACATCTTATTTAGAATTTTTTTGCTTAGGTTTGTAACTCAAATACAATTGCTGGTTCCTCTGTTGATATAGGAGGAGAACTTGTTTGTTCACATGCTATTACAAATGCAAATACTGTTGCATTTTAAGATGCCAAGTTGATATGTCATTGGCCAACATTTCCGATTATGTGCCTTAAAAAAAAGTGTTTGTATTTCAATAGTATCCACTCACTACAGGATACCAACATGAACCAGTGTTATTTTTATGTATTCTCATATAATTTTATTTAATCCACAGCTGCACATCCAAAAATGTTGCTCAAGAGATACAGTAACCCTATGAGTCTTTAATTTAATCTTTGACAAAAAGGCAGATGGCCGCTAATTTAAACTTTGGAGCTTCCTTGCAGTGTTTGGGGCTTTTCATCATGCTTTAGGAGAGGGCCACATCTGGGTGGCAACTTCATGGCCTGTAAGGTCTTTTATTTGGGGAGAGAGAACAGGGTTCTAGAGAAGGAAAAAATGTAGTGTCAGAAGCAGGAATTGGGTTGCTTGAGAAATAATTAATTATACTCATACACCCCTGAAGCATTATGGAAAGGAGAGTGCAATGGAATAAATAATAAATCAAAACCAATAACACTGTCAAATGTAAAAAATGTGATACTGACTTAAAATAATAGACTTATTCCCAACAACTGGATACTTCCTAATATATGTCCTGCCTTGCTAATATTATAGAAACATTCAGTGAGGAGTTGTAATCTAGCCCTGGTTCTAATGCTGTATCTCTGACCCTGACCCTGACCCTAGAAACATAATTAAGGCAAAAACATGACATTTTTACTAAATCTCCTAATTCAGGTATTTGCTATGTTAAATATGTGGGTTGAATACAGAGAATCTTTTTCAGTAGATACTTATATAAAGCCGTCTACACCTTCCTCCATTTCAAATAAGATCCCAAATTACTTAGAATTGGTCAGTTAATTCCATTAAGCAATATAAGAGATTTATTTGAGTTATATCCTGTTTCTCCCCTAACAGATGGTGGTCATGGCAGCCAACCAATAATGTTAAATCATAACATTAAAAATACAACTAAAACATCATTAGCACACACACTAGGGAAAAAACCCTAGAAAATCACTTCTAACTTGATCAGCCACAGCCTACTTGAAGAATACTTTTTATTAGTTTGATTTTTTGTACTAAGGCACTCAAAAGCCTGAATGAGAATGTCATCTCTTAAATTGCCTCCTCTGTTGAAGACAGGAATACCAGGGCAGGCTGCTAAGGGAAAAGGTAGTCTTCTCAACAGCCCTTTCCAGATTATAACCAGTACTTGAACTGAACTTGAACCAGACTCTTCATCAGTTAAAAATTTCAAAGCAGGGAATTCCATGCTCCCTGTAGACCAGTGGTTCTCAACCTTTTTAATGCCGTGACCCCCAACCGGTCGTAAGTCGAGGACTAAACCGGTCGTAAGTCAAGGACTAAACCGGTCGTAAGTCAAGGACTAAACCGGTCGTAAGTCGAGGACTACCCAACCGGTCATAAGTCAAGGACTTTCCCTGCCCGGGAGTGCCGCGCATGCGTGGTTCCGCCCCCTGCGCCGGCCGAGGTGTAGCTGGCAAGCGGCAGAGACGGAGCAGGCTGACCACCAGCTGGCCCAGCTCAAGGGAGGTAAGGCACCCGCCGGAAAAGGGGGAAAAAATGGCGGACAGCCTTGCTTGGCGACCCCTGTGAAATGGTCGATCGACCCCAAATGGGGTCGCGACCCATAGGTTGAGAACCGCTGCTGTAGACAAACCTATTCCCAATCTATTGATAACCTTCAGTTGAAGTTTCCAAGCCCCATATAGGTAACCTTAGCTATGTGAGTACATTGTAAGAGTCCAGAATTATTTTGAATGAATATGTATACATAAACCTACTCTGTATCTATGTTATATAATTTATATTTATAGACTGAAATGGACTTTTCCTTAGAATGTTTCCTTGTAAATGTCCCATAAATATGTCCATAATAGACTGTGGGCCCTCTTGCCACTTCTTGTTCAGACCTGTCTATTCCAAACTCTTTTGAGTTGTTAGAAGGAATAAATCAGAATATGTTCTGGCTTCCTTCCAGTATAATTAAAATTGAGTAAAGCTTTCTTGTTTGTTTCTTTTGTTTGACTTTGTTGGGACTTGTGGTCCTGCTCTTGTTTTGCCATGTATCCTAATTCCTTTGTCCATCATCAGTCTTCACTGCAGCTTTCACTAAGGAAGGGATAGAAGCAACCTTCTAAGTCAGTGGTTTTCTTCACCATGGACCCCCTTTAATTCCTTTTGTGGCCATGGACCTCCAAGACTTAACTCAAGATTTAAATCATAACATTTCTTCAAGCCTTCACAGACCTTCTGTGATGACATCGCGGACTCCCCAGGGGTCCGTGGACCACAGGTTGAGTGAGAATCACTGTTCTAAGTGATCGTGTTCTGAACTCTTCTCATGACTGATAAACACAATTGATTAAAGGTTGATTTTCCCTGTTTGTGGAAACAGCATGAAGGGTTCTCTTGCCTCAACCTCATTCCCACCCCCTCTGGTTTAAGTGAGCCGTTAATTCACTCTTTCTCAGTCATAACCCTAGAGCAGGGGTGCCCAGCCCCTGGTCTGTGGAACAGTACCAGGCCGCAGCATGCCAGCAACCTGTCTACACAAACAAGCAAAGACCCATCCACAGGATGCAGGCAGCACACAAAATCACACCTCCTCCGGTCCGCAGAAAAACGTCTCTCCACATAACCGGTCCCTGATGCCCAAAAGTTTGGGGACTTCTGCCCTAGAGGCTCTAGAAATCAGATTAGCACAATTGTGCAAATAATGCAGTTGTAAAAATACTGCCATGTTACTATTCCATCATTGTAGCTAGCAGAGACTACTTAATAGAAAAGTTTGTATCGTCACAGCAGTATGGCTACCTTTTATAATGTATTTGTTTGTGTCTATTTGCACATAGTCAGAAAAATGTACCCATGTATTAAAAACACGGAGGAGGAGAATTTTCTGGCAAATAATTTATCTTGTTTTGTGTGGAATGGGGCAAGGGCGTTTTTGTTACGCCTAGAGCTGTGGCAGCTCCAGGGGTTTGAAAAATGATTAATATTTTGAAACTGGCACAAAAGGTTTCCTTCAAATATGTTGTAAAGGGATTGTAAAGTGAAAACAAAATAGAAACAACCATATGAAAATATGCTGAGAACCAAAAATCAGATATAATCTTAGAATAGAATTTGTGTTTGAAAGATTCCAAAAGTATACATTTTTTCCCTAGAATGGTAGACAATGATGCAGTGTTTGCTGTAAGTTTCTGATGAGATATTAATAATCTACAAGAATATTTATAATTAATATAAACCATTAGGAATGCTTTCTTCAGTTGGGGTTTAAGTTACTTTGAGTTTGAGTCTTGAGGAATCCCAGCTTTGTTGGTTTCCTGGCATTTTAGAGGCATATTAAGCATTGCACTCTTCCACACAAGAATTCCGTGCCCACTTAAAAGCAGCTCTAGACTTCTGTGTTCCCATGATATCAATATAGTTATATTGTAGAGCTGAGCTTATTTTTTTCAAATAGGTCAGCTGCATTAGGAGCTAATTTGGGTTTAGTTGGTTGGGCATTTTAAAGACAATGCTGCTGCTTTTATCCATTAGAGACCTCTTGTTTCACATCTCACAATTCCTATACTTCCTGTAAGGAAACTGCTACTTT